CTACTCGACCATGTCTGGCTTCACTTGGAAGCATAGAGGAAATGATTCCTCTGTGTTCACCCTCCTCTTTGTAAACTGGACTGGTTCAAGTCCATCTGGTGGAGTCTCCTTAGCCTCCTTGATCAAGAGGACAGGTGACCCAGCACAAGTACAAGACATTTTGGGAGATGCTCATAGTCTCCTGGAACTAGTCGACCTAGGAGGGCAAGGAGCAAAAACTGTCCTTTATGTCCCTCTGACCAAATTAGTATAGGCCTCAAAGTATGTCTGTTAAACATCCCAGAAGGTTAGTTCCACCAGTCTGGAACTTTTATTTACTGTGTGCCATGTAGATAAATCTTGGGCAAAGACCAATTGTTCTCAGATAAACCTTACCTAGCCATATATTTCTTGATCTGGTATGCATAATTTGTCAGTAGGTTGTTGGATTAATATGGTTCCCTCTGGTTTTTAAAAATAGCTAGGCATTATTTATCTCTCGCATTATCTAACCACTCCATTATGGTTTTCCCACTAAAGGTGCCCCCATTTTCCCCCTTTCTCCCTTAATAATATCCTTCTCCTATGGTCCTACCTCCCTTGAGCTCCTTCTTTACCTTTATCCCCTAGGTTCATTGTATATCCTTCTCTCCCCCCTCCCTTAAACTAACCCAATTTTTATCCATATCTCCGTTATTAACACCTGTTTCCTACTGTTCTTCTCTTTCAGGTTCTTTCTTTTCCTTTACCTCCCTGTTTCCTTTCTATTATCTTGGTTCCTGTAGTTATGTCTGGATACATACTCACTTATCAGGATTTGGTTCTAGGATCCACATATGAGGGAGAACATAGATCGATTTCTTTTCTGAGTTTGTGTTACTTCACTTACAATAACAGTTTCTAGTTCCATCCATTTACATGCAGATTTCATGATTTTATCTTTCTTTCCTGTTGAGTAAAATTCCATCATATAAATGAATGACATTTTCATTATCCACTCATCAATTGAGGGACACTTAACTTGTTTCCATCTCTTAGCTATTATGAAAAGAGCAACAACAAACATGGATGTACAAGTGTCTCTGCAATAGGATGAGTTCTTTGGGTATATGCCAAGGAGTGGTATAACTGGGTCAAATGGTAGGTTCATTTGTAGTTTTTTAAAGAGTTATCCACACTGCTTTCCATTGCAGAGAACAAGTTTGCAACCCCACCAGCAGTGGATGAGCGTTCCCCTTTCCCCACATTCTCTCCTCACATTTTCCAGCATTTGGTATTGTTTGTTTTCTTGATCTTAGTCAATCTGACTGGGGTAAAAAAAAATCTTAAAGTGGTTTTAATTTGAATTTCCTGAATTATTAAAGATGAACACTTTTTATGGCGTTTCTTAGTCATCTTTATTTCCTCTTTTGTGTACTCTGTTCAGATCTATAACCCATATGGAAAGC